GCACGTTTTCCCATAATCATGACAGGAGAAGACCTTGTCTGCTGCATTACATGCGTCTGCGTATACTTGGCACAAATTCCTCAAATTTGAAAGGAGGGTCATCTGGATCATCATTCCTCAAATGTCTCAATCCTTCTTGTTTGTTGTGTTGAAGTCTTTACATGCAAAATTCAATCTTTTACATGGGGATATGAATATGAAAATGTTCACTAAATATTCCAACGTTTTGTCTTTTTTTTTTTTTTAGCCCAGTTGCATCATGCTGACATGTCGGAATATCGAGCATACCTCCTGCAGGTATAATTAGCAGAAAAATGGTCGCCGCCGTTTGACAATGTGCGGAACACCGTAAGGAACATGTTCTCCAGGAATCGCTCCGGTGGGCCACATGGAGCCAGCGCGCCCCCTAAGGGAGGCACCAAGACTAAGAAACGAGCCCCCAACCCTAAGGTAGCCCTGGTCATCCGGGGCAAAATCCACCGCTTGCTGCAAGGGTCCGTGGATCACCACGTGCCTGATCCTCAGCATTATGATGAGGACGAAGCTGATCAGGAAAAATGCGCCAAGGATCACAGACAGCTCTATCCAAAAACAGCACCGGGGGATGAAGCCAGCTCTTCGGCCGTCATGTCAAAAGGACACGCGGGACCATCAGGGCCACCGCGTGAGGGTGAAGTCGAGCTGACTCGGGAAGGGTGTTTGCGTATGCCCTGCACTCTGCAGCGCAAAAGCGGCAAATCCCACACCAATCGAAAGCGGATCTCCTTCGAGGGTTTGCTCCCGTTGTCTCCGGAGCTGCCGCCCACCACCGCCCTCCTCTCCGGATCCGCCGGACCGGACCAGAACGGCGTCTCGGTCGCTTCCCCCCGTGCTCGACCCAAGAGACCTTACTCTGCCGGGGACACCTTGGATTATGACTTCACGGCGCCTCTTCCAGGACCATCGGCGTCACGGGAGGACGAAGGCCGTCTGGGCGAGGAGGAGTCAAGTGCCATCATTGATCACATTCTCAAAGAGCTGAGGGGCATCAACAAGATCCAGGAGGAGATCTCAGACCTCAGGGATTACCTCACCTCGGTGAAGGGCTCTGTGGAGGAGGTGTCGTCCTGCGTGGATGCTGTTTTGCTGGAAATTGAGGGTATTCGCTCCAGTGGGAAAGGGGAGAGGGGTCAAGGGGCGCGGGGCGGTACCTGGTCGGGTGCGGCGCGCGCAGATGGGCCCTCCGCCGGTAGGAGACCGACTTGTGCGTACGGCAGTTTAGGGAGCGCAGCATCAAAGTCCAACCGTTTCCCCGACGACCGAGGGGAATTGCGACGACCGAGGGGGAAGGACTATTCGGTATCTCCAATTGCAGGAGCAGTGAATCATCAGGACCCCGTGGAACTTGAGGATACTTCGGACCTCAGCTCGGACATCCCAGAAGGTGCATTTGCCAGAAAGCTGAGCTTTGGACAAGACTGCTTGAGCACCACTTCCTTGTCTTCTCAAAGCTCGAAATCCGAGTCGGATTTGGAGAGACCTACCGATCAGGCCAAAGATCACTGGGCGACCGCCACACAACCGCAGGAGGCTGGTGGTGAGCGTCTTTGGGATAGGGGACCTTCCTACCTGCAGGATCATAAGTCAGAGGCTTCATATGGCGAAGTACTTGGTTGTGATCACGAATTCACCAGAATTTCCTCAGATCATGCCTTGTTTGGATCCCGGCAACATTACTCCAACTCGCCAGCCAGGAGATCCTCACGTCGGGAGGACTGGCAAACACGGAGATCAAAATCCCAGCCGGGATTTCAGACAAACTTCGGAGATTGCAACGCAGATTGTCCCCACCCTAAAAGTTCTGGTTACCATTCTTTTGATGGACATTACGGATACTCCAATGGGTTTGACTACGAACAATCAAACAATCAGGTTGAAAGCCATTATGGGACTTATTTGCCATATGAAGACTCGACAGCAGGGATGTGGATGTCGCAGGAGAAACCCTTTGTGCCAGAGACTGAAAAGAGACTGCCTGAACCTGGTCGGGAAGATCCCCATACGGGCTTCAACGTCAGGCGTATAAGTCGAGCGGTTTCCGACTTTAGTTCCGCTTTGCGTGGAGCGCTGCGCAAACTTGAGGTCCCCCCCGACCAGGATCTGGAAGATGCTACAGACTTTGACATATCCACACTTTCCGACATGCCTCCGAAATCTTTTAGCTGGGACCTTGTGAGCCAAAACATTCCCTTTGAAGAGGCTGAAGAATTTGCAGCCACCAGCCAGCATTACCCAAGTTTGGAGCTGGTGGCCTACCCCGAGTCCGTGTCCACCACCATACCAGATCATGCAGCCGTTCCTGAAGAGTGGCCTCGGGAGCAAAACAGCAAGAGTCAGCTGTCTCAAGGCACCACCACTGAATCCTTGTCGGTTGTGGAACTGGAGGAACAAGGAGAAAACGTGGACGTCAAGTCAGGCCTCCAAGCCGAGGAGCAAAACCTCGAGATGAGCCAGATGGACGAACGCAAGCTAAAATGCGTCAGGACTTTCCAGCAGATCCTACGGGAGAAGCGGGAGAGGAGGCGCAATCTGTCCAGTGTGTCCACCTCCTCTCGGGAGGGCTTTGAAGCAGGTAGTATAGACTCCGACTCATCTGCGACCCAAATGAGGAAAATTTAGCGCGTTGTGCTGAAATTTTTTGGAAAATGAAGCTCCCGTGACCTGTTTCACTTAGCAACAGGAAATTTGGTAGGCACGTCGATTGTGAGTCGACCCTCTAAGAAGTGTCAAGAAGTCATGCCTGAAAAGACCCAGGAAGCAGCCATCTCAGGGCGAATCGGAACAGTTCCAAGGTCTTTCAAAGTTGTACTTGGGCATGAGATTTCTTTCAAATGGAGCCCATGAAGCCAGTTTCATTTTGCAACATGAAATGTGGTAGGCTTGTCTCGTATGAGTACACCTACAAAAAAGCAATTCATTGTTCGATTGCGACCAAAATTTCCAAGTATGTACACGAGCCAAAGATTGAAACGATTGAAAATCCGAATATCAGTGTAGGGGGTGTTCTTGACCCAAATGAGCCCCGCTATGATGTCACAATTCCGCAAAATTAAGGAAGACTTGCTTACAGACACGTTTACACATTTTTGGTCAAATTCTTAACTTCTGGACTTGTTTTATTTATTTTTTAACATTTCAAAGCACCTTTGTGGAGTATGGCCATGAAACGCTTAGCGCTAATATCAATTTGACGCCGTCTTTCTTGTCGCCTTCGCTAAAGCCAAGATTTTATCCACCCCCCCCCCCCCCCCCCCCCCCCCCCCCCAGGTCATCCATCACCTGCCAATTGCCGGCCCTCTTCTCCAGCTGCGGCGGGCATTTGCTGAATTAGAACCGATGAATTATCTCTCCGAGAACAGGGAGATATCTTTTTTTTTTTTTAAATAGCCCGGTGGACGTGTTAATGAACGCTGATGATCTCGGTCAGCTGTTCGCGCTTCAGCTTAAGCACGTGTTTACACTTTGCTCTCTCTTGTGCTGTCTTTGCAGGTGGAAGTCAAGATGGAGCTCAGGTTTCTGACCGTGCGGTTTTTCTGCCTCCCGCCCGACATTACTAACATTACATCCCCTCAAGATCTTGTTCATGTGTAATTTGATGGAATGTTTCTTTGATAGCCGGTTGCATTCCAACTGTTGCATCATCTTGCCAGATTGATGGCAACATCAGCGTCGGTGTGTTGTGTCGAACCTGCTGAGCATGTGCTGTGGGGGCCCCGTTGAAAGTCCTCTCCGTTTCTTTGTCGTGATTATTTTGAACAGTTCATCCATCCATGTTCTGAATTCACCCAAAAGAAAATGGTTTTGATTCAAACCCCTGGAATTTTTGAACATTTTGACCAAAAAAGAAGAACCAATTCAGACCAAATTCGTTTAATTTAGCAGTATGAAACTCGGGAGATATGTTTCTCTGGAGTAGAGCCACAAAACTGTCTGAAGAAGCCATTCCTGAAGATTGTGGTTCAAAGTGAGCCTGTTGGCCACTTTCAGCGGTGCTTCAGAGACAAACTCTTCCTAGAGAGAATGTTTGATCATCTAAATCCCATGGTCAGCTTCGGTGAGAAACATGAAATTTGGTTGGCACGTTTATCGTGAGGTGGCCCAGTGCTTGACTGGTTACCACGTCCGCCTCACAGTGCAGAAGTGCAAGGTTCGATTCTGGCCTTCCTGTGTGGAGTTTGCATGTTCTCCCCGTGCCTGCGTGGGTTTTTATCCGGGTACTCGGGTTTCCTCCCATATTCCAAAATATGCTTGGCGGCTTAATGGAACACTCGAAACTGTCCCTAGGATGGTTGTTCGTCGGTGTGTGCCCTGCGATTGGCTGGCAACCAGTTCAGGGTGTCCCCGCCTACAGCCTGGGAGAGGCTCCGGCACGCCCTTGTGATGAGGAAGCGTATTGGAAAATGGATGGATGGATATTTATCATCAGTAGACCTGCAAAAAAGGCTTGAAATCGTCTATTATGACAGGAATTGAAAACGTTGCCATTTTTTTTTTTTGTCAGCAGTCCTAAAAATACGAACTCTTCTTGCATTTTTATTTGAAGCGGCCATATTTGGGCTGATTTTGGCCATTTCCTGTGGTCATTTAGAGGCAAAGTTCCTTTAAGATTTTGTTCTATTGCTCCCAAATGGAAGTTAAAAAATCGAATCGATAGAGAGATGCCACTGAATTGCAGAAATTTTGTGTGTTCGTCATTTTGTGCAGCAACGCTAGATGACTTGCCATAAAACCGAAAAAATGGTCCTTTTCTTTGTCGCAACCTGTTGGAGTGACGCTTCCGTAGCATGCTGAGCTGAAAGCCAACCGAGCCGCCTCGATCCCGACTCGCTTCCATGTGCATGCTCCTTGTGGCGTCCGTAACCCCCCCCCCCCCGAAAGGGGCCCGGGCCCCCCATCTGAAAGGTGCCCGTGCCTCCCATCTGCCTTGAAATCTGTGACGTTGGTTTGATTTTGTGTTTCAGAGCCAAGATGGCGACCCCGGCAGGCAGCCGTGGGCCAAGCCAGGGTCAGTGAACGCCTCGTAGTTTCCGCTTGGGAATATCGAACAATATAACCCGTTTTTATATCGAGCTGTGCATTTGTATTTTGGTGTGTAGGGAAAACACACTGTTTGGCATTGATAGCACGCCGGCCCTCCAAAAGCGGAGGCCCATTCCCCTCGTTAGTGAAGTGGTGAGTTCAAATCAAATCTTTTTATTTTTGGTTGTTTTTCTTTCAAAAATAGCTTTAAAAACACAAAAGCATCATAATTTCTCATTTAAATACACATCAATTCATCAATAATCCCACAAAATGCCACACTTACCTTATTTCTGTGCTGGGAGCGACTTGGAAGAGAGGCTATTTTGAAAAATCTGCATAAAATACAATAAAAACATGAAAGGCAATTTTTTTTTTTTAGTGACTTGCTCATGTGTAACCTTTGATTGTCTTCCTCCTCCTCCTCCTCCTCCTCCTCCTCTTCTTGCTTCCAGGCTATGGTGAGTAAAGCACGCAAACAGAAGTTGTGTTTTGAATGATGTGGGATGAGCTCGCACATTTTTTTTTTTTTTTTTTTTTGCCTCCTTTTGATTTCTGACATATTCAGCGTGGAGACGCCCACACCTTTGCTCTCCCGGGCTGTGCTTCTTGCAAACAAAATGAAATCACAAAGTCATTACAGGGAGTCCTTGCTCTTATCTTGAAGGAGATTTCCCCACTGTTGACTCACGGAAAGAGCTGCTTTTCAGTCGTTTACGCAAAATCATGTTATCACCGCTGCGGCTCGGCCTGGCATTTTGGCCATTTTCCAAGTTTTGCTATCCTTTGTGAGATGCCGAAAAAAATTGCTTCGCACCTTCAATGAATGGCCTATTTTGTAATTGTTTTCATATATTGGACGCACTGGATTATAAGGCGCAATCTACAATGCATCCACTAGATGGAGCTACGCTCCTTCCGTTCATGACCGCCTCCGAAAAACGTAAATGATTACTTCAATGAAACTACGAAAATTGAAAAAAATGCATCAAAACAGAAAATTAAGCGAGGAAATCACAAAATAAATTCTATAGCGCCCCTACAGAATTTATTTCGGCATTTCCTTGAGCGTAGCTCCAACAGAACGATCATCCGAAAAACGTAAATGATTACTTCAATGAAACTACGAAAATTGAAAAAAATGCATCAAAACAGAAAATTAAGCGAGGAAATCACAAAATAAATTCTATAGCGCCCCTACAGAATTTATTTCGGCATTTCCTTGAGCGTAGCTCCAACAGAACGATCAGATGTCAGTAAAATGTACGAGACTGGACTGTCTCAGAAGTGTTTTGTTATTTATTCCTTTGTTGTGTACTGTATTCACAACAGTAGTGCGGAAACTACGGTACGAGAGGAAGCGATGCTTTTTAATTAGCGTCAGCACCACGGTGCCCCGATTTTCTTCGATGAAAAAGAAAAGCAAAAGGAAGGCGGGGGGAAACAAGCCCCAGACTTTGTTCCTTGATTGATTATGTTGCAAGAGGGGCACAGCGTGAGTTTAGAAAAAAATTCGGCAAACAAATCCATGAATAAAAGACACAACAAAGAGCGATTTGAATACTTGCACATGTGGAAGTGGTGTCGGCGTGTATTGGGGGGTTGGACTTTTACAGCCCAGATACACTAAGCGGGCGGTCGATGAAGGTGATAATTAGTGACTAGTCGACATCACACATTGTACCGTAGTAAAGTCGCCCAGTCAACTAGTGTGTCCAACCCCGAATGTTCAACCGTTGGCCGTTGTTTGAGAACAGAAGAACCTCATCATCCCGACTTTTCTTTCCAGACCATGATCCAGTCCAGGAAGTCGGGCCTGTGCCACACGTTGGCGACGCTGACCTCCCTCAATGACCAAGAGCTCGTGAGTCAAGTTGCCCGGTTGTGTCGGGGTGTCGTACAAAACACGAGTGCCGCAAAAGATCTGCCGTCTCTTTGGATTGTTGACGCAACGGATGCAAATGAACATCCCTGCCGATGAGTTCCGCCGCGTCCGCGTTTCACCGGCACCCGTTGCGGTGTTTCCCAACAGAAGTGCCACGTGTACAAGAAAACGCTTCAGGCTCTCATCTACCCCATCTCCTGCACCACGCCGCACAACTTTGAGGTGTGGACCGCCACCACGCCCACCTACTGCTACGAGTGCGAAGGGTTGCTGTGGGGCCTCGCCCGGCAGGGCATGCGCTGCGCCGAGTGTGGCGTCAAAGTCCATGAGAAGTGCCAGGAGCTGCTCAACGCCGACTGCCTGCAGCGTGAGTGGAAAGAGCTTCTGTCGCCGGAATCCGATCTGAGGGTTCACATGGACCCTTTCCCGCCGTCTTCCTCAGGAGCCGCCGAGAAGAGCTCCAAGACGGGAGCGGAGGACCGCACGCAGCACATCATCATGGCCATGAAGGACAGGATGAAGATACGCGAGAGGAACAAGCCGGAGATCTTTGAGGAGATCCGCCGAGTGTTCAACATGTCCAGGACGCTCCACGGCCAGCACATGAAGAACATCAAGCAGAACATCCTCGACGGGACCTCCAAGTGGTCGGCCAAGATCACCATCAACGGTACGTTCTTGTCCTCCATCACTGCGCCGCATGGCCGATGGGTGTCACTGTACTCCACACAAAAAGTTGGGAATGCAGTTTGGGGCTTTTGGGAGAAATTTTAGGATGGATTGCAGAATGCCTGACCTAACAGCCAGCTTGTAGACCAGGGCCTCGGGCTTGTGTGGCCACTTTAGAGTGCCCCGTTGTTGGCCATGAGTGCTGGGACATCACGAAGAGAAACGTTTTCACTATGTACCTTTTTCCATGTCTGACTTAACAGTCAGCTTGTGGACCAGCGCTTCAGATTAGTGCAGGGCGACCAAAGGGAGCCCTGATTTAACAAAAAAAAAAAAAAAAAAAAACTCAGTG